ACCCATAAATCAACTATCCGCCCCATAACCCAATATCCACCCAATTTCCTCTAAAAGGCATCCTAATTAAAAGACCCAAATTAACAGGTCCCATATCTCACACACAAAACCCTAGCCTAGTTCTGTGTTCCCCTGCAGTTTCTCCCTTTCTTCTTCTGAAATCACCAAACAATTTCCAAAATTGCTAGCACACCTCCACATCTCTGTTTTTGTGTATAACTTCTAATAGAAGTCAGTGATCTTCCCCTTGATCCTTGTTGGGTCATCAGTTGTTACTCCTTGTACATGAATTGTTCTATGTTATTGTATCTTATATGGGCAATGGTCATTTTGTGAAAGAACTTGGTGATCCTATCACCCTCTTTAAGACAAAGAGATGTAGACTTTTGTTTCCATGAGCACTCTTCATTTTTATTGACTTCCTCATAATCCATTAATAATGTAAGCTTTCATCCTCAGTCAAAGTCGTCACAGCAAGCATTCTGTCCATATCTGCTAACTGGCTGAGGATGTTCTTTCTTTAAGAGTAAAATTTCCTTGCAAACTTCTAATCTATTCGTTGAGTTTTGCTTTGAGTGCCTTCATTTTACAAGCCAAGATGAGGGAGATGACAGATAGATGAAAAATTGACTACGAAATTATGACCAACACACGATAGATTTGACGAAGACAAGGTGGAATCGACCAACAAATTGGAATCGACAAAAGAACTAGGCTAGGGTTTTGTGTGTGAGATACAGGACCTGTTAATTTGGGTATTTTAATTAGGATGCCTTTTAGAGGAAATTGGGTGGATATTGGGTTATGGGGCGGATAGTTGATTTATGGGTTAAAAAAAAAAGGTCAAACGGATAGTTCATTAGGATTAAGACACGTGTAAAAAATGAGGGATCCGTTAGTGAAAGGGGTATGTGTGTACCTATAATTGGACGACAGGGTCTTATATGGACACAAAGTATAACGGAGTGCATAGACGTACCATTTATTAAAGTTCGGGGTAAATCCATCTTTTTTCCCTAAAATAAATAACATAGCTCTGTTTTTGTCATATTTCTTCTACAACAGAGTTTTCTTGAAGCTTAGTTTGTCATATATATATATATATACTAGATAATGTGGCCCGTGCATAGCACGGGGCCAATAATATAAAGAGCAACTTTCACATATAGCAAACAAAAAAATCATATTTGTATGTTATAGCAAAGTTTGCATAATTGCGCTCCATATCAAACATATATATGTATAATTCGCTATACATATACAATTGAAAGCTGTCTATTTCGCTATACATATATACAAAAAGAAGCAATTGTATAATTCGTTGGCTCCTCTTCAGATTTGTATAATTTCGCTGGCAGGCTATTTGTATAAATTGTTGTTTGCCTCTCGTTTGTATAAATCGTTGACAAAAATATTTGTATAT